CCCCCGCTTTTTTTGTTGTTGCTCAGAGCTAGCACTCTTGAGCAAACTCTTAATGAGCCACTCAGCCAGACCGCCACCCGCCCTCTCCGGTTTTTGAAAGATATAAGCAAGGAGCTCGTTACAGATTCTGAGGAACAATTTTTTCCCTGATTCATACTTAGGGTTGTCAGCTGTGCTTCATATCATTTAAAAACAAAAACAATAAAACAGCACCAAGTCCCAGGGAAAAGAAAGAACACTTAACTCAATTGTAAAATTCCCTGCATCGCAATATTTGAACCCATATTTCCTCAGTGGTTTTCACACACGCACACATACACACACATTTTATTTTATCTTGCCATACAACTCAAGCATCATTTGATTTGGCTTTGATTTAGGGAAATGTACCTAAGGAAGTAGCTCTTTGGTTCCTAAACAGTGTAATGTGAGAGTCCAGTTTCTTTGATAACCATCTTTCTGTCTCACCTGAAAATGTCCCTGTGGTCCTGGAGACAGTAAATAAGCCTCTGGTTTTCACCTATTTGGCTTTCACCAGGCTTTTGTTTTTCTTTTTGGAAATGTTCTACCACAACTTCCTCAATTACAGCCCCTGCATTACAAAGCCAGACCTTCAGCTTCCTCTTTCTCTGAATGCTTCCTCTCTGCCCTTTGCTCTGCCGTTCAGATAGCATTTATTGACTTCATATCGTGTTCCAAGCACTAGGTCCTGGGACACCGGCCTATGCATTCTTTTTGCTCTCTTTGCCACTCTGTCACATTGCCCCCGTGATAGGATCTATTCCAGTAATTTCTGGGATGTAGTCAGCCCACTCTGCAGTTACCACTGCCTCTACTTTCTGCTTTGGAGTCCTTTGCATTCTGACCTATCCTCATGGCATTGGCTCATTTCATTACACAGTGATTTTCAGTGGCGTCTTTCTGTTTGGACCTCCTTCTTAAATTCCATTCTCATTTCTAACTCCATTCTGATCATCTCTCCTAGGCATTCCATTGATGATAGTGTCCTGAAAGAAATGTGAGGGCAGATGCCTGTTTAGATTCACATGGTTGTGCATGCACTCACACACTCACACACACACACCACACACTCAGCCACACATAGATACTTCTAACAAGGGCATTCTTGAAAAGACATCTGGATGTAGAAACAGTAACAATCGTAAAGAGGATTTCTTTGAGTCGCCGCAGTTGGAGACATGAAGTACTTGGGTGTGAACGAAGATATTTCAGTAGTGTCTTAGAGAATTTCCAGGCCACTTAAAGATAAGTTAAAGCAGAAAAATAATAGGATTGGACTGAATGATTTTAGTTTATCCATTTTCAAGAATTTTGTGACGTCTTATTTATGTAAATATGGATTAAACAATAGCTATGATCAGTTATAAGAGTTATAAACCATTGCTTCCTTGCTCTTCTTATGTACTTGTCAGTTTTTTATCTCAGAAGCTAATTTTTTTTTATATTGCACACTTTGTCTACTCCTATTGAATGCTTGGATTTTAGTCCATTAGCTGGATATTCAGGACTTCTTATGCTAAGGTCATTTTACATTATAATTTTAATCTTTGATATTATAAATAATGAAAACATTTTAGGTATTTGACAATTATAAATCTCTTATACATATTTCATTGATTTTTTTAAAAACTCTGTAAAGACAAAGAGAAAAGAGGCAAAAAGGGAGGTTAATATTCTTTTTTATGATAAAGAAAAATGGTAGTTTATATGTTTTTTTAGAATTAGAAGTACAAATTTGAATACAATTACCCATGGTGACTAATGAGTTGAAATTTTTATAAATTAAAAGCAGACATAACAAAACATGAAATATTTGAAGTCCATAAGGTTAGAGTGGGGGTTTTCATAGACAACTTTGTAAGGACACTCACATGGTTACCAGCTATAGGACAGTAATTTACTTCAATGTTTTTGGCAATCCTACCTTACATAAAATATATTTTAGGTGGCTTTGTTGTTTGATTTCACCACATTATCCACCTGTGTTTAGCCTGCCCTTGTCTATAATTAAGAAGCCTATATTGCAACTTCTAGGTTACAGACAAGGTTCCATTTGCTAGAGCTGAAAAGCCAGAGCTAAAGAAATCTAAGGTGTAATAAAACATATCAGAAATGATAGACTTTAAAGAAATGAATGTAAGGCCTAACATATTTTACATCTACAAGACTTCACATCCATTATAAAGTCTTACAACCCTCATGGCGTCGGTAAGAAGAGTAACCTCATTTTACAGATGAAGATGCTGAAGGGGCCGGCCGAGTGGCTCAGTTGGTTAAGAGCACAAGCTCTGAGCAACAGGGTCACCAGTTCAATTCCCACATGGACCAGTGAGCTGCACCCGAGCTGAGCTGCCACTGAGCTGGTGGGAGCGCGTGCTCTTAGCAGCAAAGTTGCTGGTTGGACACCTGTATGGGATGGTGGGCTGCGCCACCCCACAACTAAGATTGAACACAGCACCTTGAGCAAAGCAGCCCCGAGCAGCCTGGAGCTGCAGATGGGTAGCCAGATGGCTCAGTGTGCAATAAGGTTTCCAGTTTGACTCCTGCATGGGATGGTGGGCTACGCCCTCCACCACAACTAGATTCAAAAGCAGTGACTGGACTAAGAGCTGAGCTTGCACCCTCCACAACTAAGATTGAAGGACAACAATTTGACTTGGAGCTGACGGGTCCTGGAAAAACAGAATGTTCCCCTTCCCCAATTCCCCAACACTGTTCCCCTCCCCAATTCCCCAATAAAAATCTTTAAAAAAATAAAAATAAAAAAGATGCTGAAGGTCAGGGAGCTGGGTATGTTCCCCAAGGTTGGTATAACTTACAAGTACAGAACTACTCATTAACTAGTTATTTGACCCCAATCCAACTGACTCAATAACCCGGTACTTATTTAAGACACAACACTAAGTACAGACAAATGGAAAACAGCTACCCCTGTGCTCTGTGGAACACTGTACACTTCATGTTATTAACTAATCTCATCTGATATGTTTACCACCAAATGAGCTTTAAAGAGAGAAATCATGCTGATTCATCTTTGAAGTATTTCTAATATATATAATAGCTCAGTGCCTGGAACAAAGGTTCTGAATAAACTGAGAAAATGACTAAGAACAGAAAGAATGGATGACCAGAATTGGGTGTCTTCTTTGTTTTGGGGACATGATCGTCCTATAGATCCTACTGGATGAAATAAAAATCTTTCACTGATCAGATCACACTTCCAATATGACCTTATGTGAATTCAAATTTAAGTATCTTAGTTACATGAAGAACATATCAGTGAATTAGAGCATTGCCATTTGGATATGACATGAAAACAATTGCTTATAATCACTCCTGCTGAGAGTTATATAAATATACTCCTGATTGCGTGAAAATAGAAGTAGGAAGCAAGTTGGTGGAGGGTAGTGGTGCCCTTACTGTTAGGTCCTAAAATGCTTCATGACTGGGAACCTATTCATTGATCAAACAACCCACTGAGTGGAGAAGAATTCACATATTCTAGAAAAGATGATAAAGTGATAAGCATAAGAAATTAAGTGGCGGGCCGGCTGAGTGACGCAATGGTTAAGAGCTGGCTTGGGACGCCAACGGGCCCGGTTCGGATCCCACATGTGAGGACTAGTGACACTGCCCTCTGCAGCTAAGATGCTGAACAACAGCTCAACCTGGAGCAGGGCTGCCAGGAGTCACCTACGATGTCGTAGGCTGCAGCCCTTGCTGCAGTGGGTTGCCATGGGCTACTGTGTGTAGCCAGCAGCCAGCGTGAGTGGCCGGCAGCCACAGTGAGTGGCTGTCCAGAAGCCAACGACCGATTTGCCTCACCCGGGAAGAGCGCAATGATGGTGCCAACTTGGGCCAGTGAAGCAACGTCCTCCACAACTAGACTAAAGAACAAAACGACAGCAACTTGTCTGTTCCCCTTCCCCCAATTCCCCAGCGCTGTTTCCATGCCCCCAATTCCCCAATTAAAAAAAAAAAAGAAATTAAGTGGAAGAATAAAAGGTCTAAGAAGGAACCAAAAAAGTTTAAATGGCATAG